GGGGGGCACACTGAAAGCCGTGGCCTGGCCCTCTGCTTCTGAAATGAAACGCCACAGCTTTGCAAACCCTGTGGGCAGTTCTGTTCGGCATACACGGTATTTATCGCCAGGGGTCGGAGGCCATGCAAGAGCAACTAAGCTGTACATTTGGATCAGGAGGCTCTGAAAATCTGAGTAAAGCCGAAACAATCTACAAATCTTGACTTGCAAAGCCAAGAGTTAGCCCAAGGCATAAGCCCAGGGGGCTCAATCCACAGTGGCTGCTAGAATCAGGAGTGCAAGGCACCAGTTCTGCCCTCTTCTTCTCAGTGCAAGGACCATGCACTGAAAGCCCTGGAGCTGAGGCCGACTCAGCCACCCCGCTGTGGGTTTCTGGGCCTGTCACTCTCCCGGGAGCAGAAAGCCCAGTCTTTCCCGGAGCTGCTGGTGGTTTGGAACTGCCAACACATAACCCCCTACACGACCAGGCTCCTGCAAGAAGCACAGCCTTCCAGAAAGCAGACTTGGCAGGCAGCTCTCCAGCCTCTAAGCTCTAGCATGCTACCCGCCCGTGGGAAGAGATCCAGCGGCGGGCATCCGCCCAGGCAACACTGCGTGGTCCCGCACTGAAAGGCCGAGCCCACGGTGACCCCAGCCATCTGATCCCAGAAGCCTGCCTGCTGCCCTCTTGATTCCCAGCTGCTTCGCGGTTGCAGCTCTCAGAACCCTAAAATAACCCCGGCGGCGAGAGCAGTTGTCCCGCTCTAGGAGAGATGAGGCTAGACGCGCAGCTGGGCACGCAGCCAGAAGACGGCGAAGGGGCTGGCTGCCGGGCACAGATTACACTTAACAGGAGCAACAAGTGCCTCCTGGGCCCTCCCTCGCCCTTCCTGCCTTTCTCTGGAAGGGGACTCCAGCGCGTGCCAGTTCCAAGATGTCCCAGTGCCTGCCCAGCCTCCCCACTTCCAGGGCTGGGGACTCCGGGCTTGTCGGAGCTGGTGCCCGCTTTAGTCAGTGCGTGCAGCCGCGGGAGGGTCGGTGACTCAGCGCCGTAATGTCAGCCCCTTCACAGTCAGGGCCCTGTCATCCACACTGACACCCACGAGACTGGGGGTACCGGGCAGGGTGATCGCATTCGAAGAGGGGCTCGAGCCCCGCTGAGTACAACGGATGCCCCACCCCCACCCACCCCACCCCCCCGAAGCGCGCCCTCCAGGGCTCTCTCCTCCCGGCGGCGCGGTGGCGAGGGGCAATGGGAGGGAGACGCCGTTGTTTGTGGGCTCACTTCAGCCTCAGGGTCCCGAGGACACGCAGGTTCTGCCCGCAGACCCGACACAGGACAGTACAGGGGTGGGGGTTGGGGGGATGGAGGCGGAGATCGCGTCGGGCTGGACGCGCAGGACGCGGGCGGAGGCGCCCGCGACTGAACAGCTGGCTCTGCCCAGAGTCCGACCCGGGGTCAGCGGTGACCAAGCTAGCCACGGGGAAGGGGGCCCATCCCTCCAGCCGCCGGCGGTCCCAGCCCTCCAGGTGCGCGCCAAGCCCTTACCGAGCGCGGGACAGTCCTCCGGGACCTGCTCCGACCCCGACACGGCCAGCAGGGCGGCCAGCAGCGCGCAGCGGACGGCCAGCATGCTTCCTGCTCGGCTACCGCCCCATGCTCTGGAGCGGCGGCGGCGCGCTGGTCAAGACCTGGCGGCCCGGGCGGGGCGGGGCGGGGCGGCCGGTGGGCGGGCGCACTGGGGCCCCGAGGGCAGTTCCCACCGCAGGCCCGCACGCACTCTCCGCAGCGCCCGGCCTCGTGCGGCGCCGGCTCGCTTGGGGCCCGCTCGGAGCCCGCACGACTCCCCACTTGCACGTGACTGAGCGCAGCTGACGGGCCTGGCAACGCAGGGAAACATTTGAGGAACTCGCGCTGGAGCGGCTCTGGGCCAACCTCGGGTGCGGTTACGAAAGCCCGGAGCGGATGGCGCAACAGCCCGGCCCGCGGGCGCGGGAGGGGCCGGCTTCCTGTCTCCGCGCCGCACCTGAACCCGGAGGGCAGGAACCCCGGAGCGCGGTGCGGACCAGACCTCCCGGGGCCCCTCCTCCAAGTCCTGTTTTTGAGGCTTAGCGGGGGACTCCACCACCACGAGGGTGGTTTTGATTTCTGATTTCGTGAACAAGATTACAGCTGGGCCAGGCGCACCTGGAGAGCGCTTCCTCCCCCACCCCTCGGCAGATGTGCCTCCTCGCCACTATAAAGTAAAGGCACCATCTGCTTCTATTACCTGGGGAGCTGCAAGCTGCAAACACCACCCAGGTCGGATGTAGTGCGGCCCAGGTGAGGCCTGACCATCGGGACACACCACCTTAAAGGTACTTTCTCTCCCCGGAGGCACCCAAGTCTGCAGCAGAGGCAAAGAAAGGTTTGTGCTCTGGAGCCAAGCAGTGGGCCTCTGTTCCCCTCCGTGCGTGCGGGCCCCCATGGTGACTTGTGGCTGCCGCAGAACCTCTGCTGCGTTGTCCGACAGAGCTAAGACAGCCTGAACTGGGCAGTTGCAAAGGCACCTAGAGCTGCCCTCCAAGCTCCGGACACGGGCCTGGCCCACAGCTGCTCTGAAAACTGTCAGAACCTGCATCCTGCACTGCCTGACTGGGGGCAGACAGAAACTGGCCAGACATCTTCAGGAGCAAACCTAAGTCCCCTGCCAGGGTCTGGAGCAGATAGAAGGGTCTCAAAGCTGAGTTTGAAGAGAAGGAAGTCTAGACTAAGAAAGAAGTCTCTCCACCAAACCAAACTCACTGCCCTGAGGTCCAGTTCACAGCAACCCTACATAGGACAGAATGGACTGGCCAACCTGGGTTTCCGAAGCTGTACAACTTTTTTTGTTGGTAATCATTTTATTGGGGGCTCGTACAACTCTGATCACAATCCATATATCCATCCACTGTGTCAAGCACATTTGTCCATTTTTTGCCATCATTGTTTTCAAAACATTTGCTTTCGACTTGAGCCTTTGGTATCAGCTCCTCGTGTTTTTTCCCCAAAGCTATAAAACCTTATGGAAACAGAAAGCCTCGTCTCTCACCGTCACTGAGGGTGGGTTCTAACTGCTGACCTTGCAGTCAGCGGCCTAGGACGTGACTCACAAAACCAAAACACCTCACTGACATCAAGCAGATTCTCCCTCCAGGCAGAGTGGACCTGCCCCTGAAGTTTCTGAGCAGGTAGTCTCACCTGTCTGTGCTGGAGCGGCTGGGAGCTTCCAACTGCTTACCTCGGAGTTAATTGGCAGCTCGCCTCACGACCCACGTAGTCAGTCACTACGCCATCTGAGCTCCTGGCTTTGGGACCAGCAACTGCTAATGAGAATGTGCTTTTCCACTTTGGGCTTCAGACAGATCCTAACTTGGTTCAGGATTCCTGGAGGAGCTGCAATGGGTGTGGCCTGGCACCAGCCTCCCCAGTGACTAGGACCAGGCATGGAGGGACCAAACCCCCAAACGAAGCCCACTGCCACTGAGTGCACTCCAGTTCGTAGTGACCCTCCATGGGGCTTCCAGGGCTGTAAATGTTTATGGGAGCAGAGAGCCTTATCAAGGGCTGGTGGGGTTGACCCACTCACCTGGCAGTAAGCAGTCTAGTGCTTACCCAGCAGTGCCACCGAACTTTCTTGGCACGGAGGAACCAAACTTACTTCCATCAAGCCGATTCCAACTCATAGCAATCCTTTAGGAGCCTGTGGGTTTCTGAGACTGTAACTCTTCAAGCAAGTAAAACATCTCTGTAGAGTGGCTGGGGGTTCAAACTGCTGACCTTACAGTTAACAGCCAGATGCATGAGCCACTACACCACTGGGGACCCTTGGCCTGGAGGCACAGAGCTTCAGCAATGTAGCACTCAGACAGTAGCACGGGGTCCAGCTTTCACCAGTGCCAAGCAGAACCAGACGCACCCTGGCGCACTTCCTGATGGGACTGGTTTGGGTGGGCTTGCTCCAGCCATGCCCACAGGCAAGGGAAGAAAGGGCTGTGGTGGGTGGATCCTTTGACCATTAAACCTCTTTTCTGCTGGGACTGCGGCACGACTGGGGTTCGTCCCCACTGTGGTTGCCCCCTTCCTCTCCAGGTGTGGCAGATGCAGAGCTGAAATTAATCAAAGTGAGATAGCAGCTGCCAGCCTGAAACTAGAAAGCTGCAGAGAGATGCAGAAAAGAGGGATGTAGGGACCCAAGAGCAGTTGTCTAAGACCACCCCCCACTGGGTTTTGCACCAAAGAGGACTTGCCCAAAATCAGCTGGTGGGGAGTCTGCGTTCTGCAGTCAGGCTTTGTTCCCAGCCCAGTCCTGCTCCTTGATGGCTGTGTGCCTTGAGGCAGCTTTCTTAACCTCTCTGAACCTGTGTTTCCTGGCGTGTAAAATGAGAGCGACACTGTACAGTGAACCCTACGAGAGAGGGGGGAAAGGAAAGAACGAAATCCCTGAGACCCAGAGCTCCGTGGGACTGCTGTGTTTGCGGGGTCTTGCCAGTTTCCCCTCTTCCACAGCCTTGCCGCGCTCTGACCCCTTGGTCGAGTGGCATTTGAGTTTCCTTCCCTGGCAGCTGTCTGTCTTACACAGAGGTCAGTTTTCACAGGGTTTCCCGGAGAGGCAGGCGCTGGGTTATGAATGAGCTCTGTTCCTAATAATGTAGGTAAGTGGGAATGGCTACACAGAGCTCTTATCTAGACTGATTGTGGCGGGTTACGCAGTGTGCTCCTAACAACCACAAGGCCAGTGGTTCCGCACCCACCAGTTATTCTGCCAGAGAAAGGTAAGGCTGTCTGCTCCCAGACAGATTTGAAGTGTTAGAAGCCCAAAGGTTCAGCTCTACTCTGTCCTACAGCCTCCCAGTGAGTTAGAATGGACGGCCCAGGTGGCCGTGAGTTTGGTTTTGAGTTTGTTAGTTTGGGTGTTGGTTTGAGAAAGGACTCCTGCTGGCGCTGTCAGGTGAGTTTTGGAATGCAAACTACCCGGTCTGTGGTTCAAACCCACCAGCCACTCCTCAGGAGAACGACGAGGCTGGCTGCCTAGAAAACACTACGCAGGGCAGAGCCGTGGTAAGTCGGAATGGACTCTCGGCCGCGGGGCAGTGCAAGAGAAGGCTCCCAGCTTGACCCCTGGTCTAGCAGCTGCGTGTGCTGCGAATGAAGGCGGTTGTGATGATTTTGTTGGGATCCTTCACTCACTCGGCCGTGGAATGAGCCACCAGCAGCGCTTACTGGACAGTGCCAGCAGGGCTCCTTGGGGATTCTCCGTTAGAATAAATTGTGTTTAACATTAGAGGACAAGGACAAGCTGTCTCACGTAACTGGGGGTGGGGGGCGGGGAGTGTCCACAGTTACGGTGGTGTGGTTCAGACTAAAAGACCTAGCGCTAATCTTTCCTTTCCCAGCCTCCTCCTCTGCATCCCGGGGTAGACTCAACTAGTAACCTAAAGGTTGGCAGTTCAAACCCACCCAGAGGTGCCTCACAACTCCCTTCTGAAGGGTCACAGACTTGAGCCCCCTATGTGAGTTCTACTCGCACGATGCCGGCATGGAGCCCCTGGCCATTCACCACCACAATAGCAGTGACGCGCCTTGCATGCTGCCATGCTGCAGGAGTGTTTGTTCAAGGTATTCCCTCTGCCGGGAATTCCCTTCCTTATCCTACACCCTGCTCACCCTCAGGACTCGCCTCACTGCCTTCTCCGGGAAGCCTTCCTGGCTTCTTTCCACTTCCTAGAATCCCATCATCCCCACAAGGTCCTGTGAGGTGTCCCACCTCCGTCTCCCTGGAAGCCACACTGACTTCTGTCGCCATCCCTGTCGTCACCTCCCGCCACACGGCTTTGCAGCTGGGATGATCCTTTTCCTGGAGAAATGGCTTCTCCCAGGAACTCTCTGAGCACGCTCTCTGCCTCTATCAGACCAGATCTAAACTCTCCCCCAAACTCTCGGGTCAACATTCCAGGCTTTGTTGGCAAATAAGAAGGAGAAAACCTGTACCATTCAACCTGATCTGTCCCCCAACCCCTTCCCTGCCTGGTTCCTCGTGGCAGCACCCGTGAGACATCTGCTCTTCCGGCCTGGCTCCTCATCCCCAGGAGAGGAGAGAAGACTGGGGCCTGGGGGGATGGGGGAAGAGTTAGAGCTCCCAGGGAAATTGCAGAAAGGCATGGGGATATCAGTTACCCAAAAACAGAAATGGGAGTCCTGGGGCCTGGCAATTTTAGACACGCTTCTGTGAATTGAAGGAGCCCTGGTGGCACAGTGGGGTAAGTCTTGGGCTACTCATTGAAAGGTTCATGGTTCAAATTCATCAGCTGCCCCATGAGAGAGAGTTATGGCAGCCTGCTTCCGTAAATATTTATAGTCAGTGACTGAACTATTTCATTGATATGTGAATTGCATGCCAGTATATGTGAGGGGATACACACACACAAAAAAACAACCAGAATTGCACTGGGCAAAGCTTTCGTAGTATGCATTTCTCCCTCGTTAGGTGAGCATCTGGCAACTCACTCTACGTTAGTGCACCCAGTGGCATCACCTGGGAAGGTTCTCTCTGGTCATGGTGAATTTTTAATAAAAGCAGTTTCACTAGAACTTGTTTTTGGTGATGGCTGATTTAGGAGAATAGTGTGCAACTGTGAAATTTTGTTTCCTGCTCTGGAAAAATGCCACAGAAACGGTTGTGATGATAAACACAGCTTACAAGGACAGCGCTATGGGGAAACTCAAGTGTACGAGTGGTTTTCTTGTTTCATAAAAGGTTAACTATCTGGATGCCTGTCAGCTTCCCAAACGATGAAAATGTCGACTCATAGTGCGTTTGGAGTTCGTTCCACCAGGTCAGACTGTTAATCTAGCTTTCTATTTAGAGGTTCTAAAAAGGTCCCGTAATAGCGTGGGATAAAAAAGACCTGATTTGTGGCAGACGGGGGACTGGTTTTACCACCACGACAATGCACCTACTCAGGCAGCCATCTCAGTGCACCAGTTTTGGGCAAAAACAGCATGTCTCTCTTGCCCCACCACCTGACTCTGGCAACTTCTCTGTTTCTGTGAATGAAGGACATGAAAGGACAGCGGTTTGACGAAGCAGAGAGGTGAAGGGGGAAAAACCAAGGGAGGTGCTAGCAACCATCCAAAGAGATGAATTTGAAAAATGTTTCCAAGATTGGGATCGCAGATTTGGCAAATGTGGTGAGGGTAATGGGAGTGCTTTGAAGGTGATAAGGTTGTTTCGTAAAAAAATGTAAACACGTAGCTCTGGGGGGTGGGAAATTCCTTTTTTTGGGGGGTACCCCCTCTTTTATGTTTCAAGCGTAGTC